TCCTCCTGGCTCCATTTCTTGTGTATTACAGGCATGGAACACCACACATGGAACACCACACTCATTTGTATGAGTTGCATGCTAGACAAGCACTCTGCTAACTGAGCTACATGCCCAGCCCTTTCCAGAGAGGGAGGGAGGGAGGGATGGGGAGGGAGAGGTAGGGAGAGAGGGGGAGAGAGAGAGAGAGAGAGAGAGAGAGAGAGAGAGAGAGAGAGAGAGAGAGAGAGAGAGAGAGAGAGAGAGAGAGAGAAGGAGAGTTGTTGGTGTTGTTTTTCAGGGTCTCCTTGACCCCTAACTTGAGGCAATCTCCTTCCATTGCCTTTTGAATAGCAGCATTACAAGTATGAGCTACTGCAACTGACCCAAACCCCAATTTAACTTATTTATTTTGCCCCACAGGATCTCACTGTGCTGTAGTCCAGGCTGGCCTAGAACTTACTATATAACTACACTAGCTTGAGTTTAAGGCAGTCCTCTAGCTTCAGCTTCCCTGTTGTGTTGTAATCACGGGTGTGATTTATCCCGCCTGGGACCCAAATCCAATTTTTGAACGAAGAATTTGAAGCAGCCACGGTGGCACTAGTGGAATTTATTCTCACTGTTGTCTATAGTGAGGGTCACTTTCCTCTCAGATCTTGCACTCTAAACCCAACTGATTACCCAAGCAGTGACAAGCATCCATGAGTCAGTGACTCATTTGCCCACCTCTCAAAAAATATTAATATCGCGGGTTTGTTTTTACAACAGACTTGAATAAATAGTTAGCTTCCTTCTCTGTATTCCTCTCTCTTCATAAGGTGGCTAGTTCCATGGGACAGCAGCCTGGTGTCCGTGTTTCCAAGGTTGCAGGAGCAGAAAGGGGGGGATGGGCCTCAGTCTTCTCCTTAGACTTTTTGGAATGGCAGCAGAGCTCTGCAGTGGCCACAAATGTTTTCTGCTTCTACAATAAAATTCAGGGATTCACTCTACATCCTCAAGTACATGCCTAAGTAGATACTTTTCTTAATAGTCCTGGGGTAGCAAGCTGAAGATAGAAGCAGAAGCAGCATTTGCAATTCTTTTTTAGTTGTTGTTGTTTGTTTGTTTTTTGAGACAGGGTTTCTCTGTTTTGTTTTAGAGGCGGTCCTAGAACTCTCTCTGTAGACCAGGCTGGCCTCAAACTCACAGAGATCCGCCTGCCTCTGCCTCCCGAGTGCTGGGATTAAAGGCGTGTGCCACCAATGCCCAGCTAGCATTTACAATTCTTGTTGATAGAGGTACTGGGGATCAAACCCAGGATGTCATACAAGCTATGAAGGCATTCTGCACTGAGCTACAGACCAGCCCTAGTGCCGTATTTTGTTTTACTTGTTTGTTTGTTAAAAAAAAAAAAAAGGTCAGACTTTTTGAATATGCCTTTGTTGTAACACCGGTGACCTGGATTCTAGTTAATTAAAAGGCAGTATTTCTGCAGAATTAGATTAAGGTCCTTCCTAGGGTCCAGACGCTGTCTTATCAAGCTGTTTCTATTCAGCTCCAAACAATGACCCGTGGGGTAAGCATCAAAGGAATGCTTGATGAATGACTGAGAAAGTTTCTGAAGTAGGGTCACGTGACACATTTAAGTCCTGACTCTGACTCTGTTTCCTCACTTGTGAAATGAACTCCCGGGACATAGGTTCTGTTTTTTCTAAGACGTCAAACCTGAAGACATTTTTGATCCTACACAAGAACTGATGAATCTCTTCCTAAAATCATTGAGTACAGACACTCAATGTCGTCAGTCACTGGTGGTTGTTGATGGCACACACCTTTGATCTCGGGCACCCAGGAGGCAGAGGCAGGTAGACCAGCCTGGTCTACAGAGTGAGTTCCAAGACAGCCAGGGCCATTACACAGAGAAACACTATCATGAAAACACAAACAAAAACAACAACAACAACAAAAACCCCAAAACTACTCAATGAGTTAAGTTTGGTTGTGCCTACAGGAACCCTCACCCCCACAGAGTTCATGGACTCTGACAGTAAAATCCTGTTACCAGATCCCCTGGCCTTGAGATCTGTGTCCAGAATCACTGGGTGTGTAGCTCCATTCTAGGAAGGATCTGTGTGCTCTGGATGCTAGTGTTCCCTTGTTTACCATTAGGATATTTCCTTTTCCATGGGGATTTTTTGGAAAAGCCACACAACCACTTCAGAAAACCGTCCTGTTGTTGAACGACACCAATAGCTTCTTAGGCTCATTGGCAGCCAGAGCAAACTATTATCCATCTACGAAGAGAGGGGGCTAAGTCACTCAGTTGGCCAAGGCCAGAGGGAAAGTCCAGGCACCTCTGATGATGCCAGAGCTATAGCACAGGGCCTTGCAGGGAGCTGACAGTCAGGCAGAGCTCCACTGAGGGCTTGCTGGCGTTACATGAGGAAAGGGAAGGCCCTCTGTGACCAGCTTAAGGACAGGAGCTACACAGCACTGCTTCCTGTCAGCCCTGCCCTTCCAGGACGCTTCCAAAATGCACATACATTAGGTAATCTAGTGCTCTTTGGCATAGTGGTAATCCTTCAAGGTGCACAGTGAGGGACCCCACGTGGAGCAGGGACCTATCAGCAATTTCCCTAGTCCCTTCAATGCAGGCTGGGCTCAGGAAAATGTAATCAAAATCCAAACTAAGTGTGACGGTACATATCTGGGATGCTAACACTCCAGACGCAGGAGGATTCTGGTGAGGTCAAGACCAGCATAGCCTGTCTAAAAAGAAAAAAAAAACAAAAAACCAAAGTTAAAATTAAAAACAAGAAAGAGCAGAGTGTAGTGGCACACACTTTTATTCCCAGGACTTGGGAGGCAGAGGCAGGCAGATCTCTGTGAACTCAAGGGCAGTCTGGTCTACATAGAGAGTTTCAGGCTAGTTGCAACTCCATAGTGAGACTCTGTCTCAAAATAAGTACAAAATAATAATAATAACAATAAAAACAAGGGAGAAAATAAAACAACAGCAACCCAGAAATCACAGTTTATAAGCACTTGTTCTGGTTGGATAAACACAGACAAGTGATAGTGCCCGAGATTTCTGAACTCCTAAAGCATTTACATATTATAAATGCTACCGACTGGTCCATCCTGTGTGTTGGTGGGGATAATGCCTGTGTGTATTCTGCATTGCCAGACACAGCCTATGTGTTTCTGAACTTGGCACTCTGCTGCATAGATCCCTTAGTAACAACTACCTGCTATTGCTATGCTCAAATTCTGAACCCCAAAATCACCAAGAGGCCCATTTCAATGCAAAAGCAAAGAGTCTTTTATTGTAGTTGTTTAACGGGTTACCATTAGCTGGGGCGTTTCATTCATTCACTGGGGCTGGAGAAAGATCCTGAGAAACAGTGAGGAGGAATCTTAAAGAGCAGCAAAGGGGAGTGTCTAGGGGATGAAACAGCTTCAGGATTGGTGCACTTCCAGGTTTGGATGACCTGCCCTGTGTTGATTGGTCAACTGGTTGTTATGGCCCATAGGCCCTCCCAGGGCGGTTGCTACACTCTGCAAGTCACTGTTGTGCTCTTGCCTGTAAAGCATAGCCCCACCAGCTAACTTCTGGTTGATTCCTTGTTACAAGGAGGGCGTCTGACCTCTTAGTGACCAGGACAGGAGCAGCAAGGGGCTGTTACTTCACTATGAAGTTTGAGGCCGGGCTGGTCTGCAAAGCGAGTTCCAGGAGAGCCAGGACTGTTACAAAGAGAAAACCTGTCTCAAAAAAATAATAAAACAAAGGAACAAACAAACAAACAAACAAATCCAGCTCCTTAGCAAGTCTAGTAGCTTGGTTCCCAGGTTCCTTCATTCCCTCAGAGTTTTATCTCTTGTCACTTCAATGGCCAACCCATAATTTATGGTGCCCTCGCTCATCTACAGGCCATTTGCTCTCCTTAGGAGCAGTCAGTGTGGCAGCCTCTCTGACATCTGGCTGCATTTATACTTTTACACTTTAAACCACGCTTTGGGGGCTGAGAGTGGCTAGGAAGGCACTCACTTAGGAAAGTGCTCGCTGTGCAAGCACGAGGTCCTGAGTTCAGATCCTCGGCACCCACATAAAGGCAGGCAACTGCATGGGCAGCGGTGGATGGGCGGCGGTGGCGCACACCTTTAATCCCAGCACTCCGGAGGCAGAGACAGGTGGGTTTCCGTGAGTTCAAGAGGCCAGTCTGGTCTGCACAAAGAGTTCCAGAACAGCCAGTGCTACACAGAGAACCTGTGGAGGGGGGGGGGGGTAGAGAGAGAGAGAGAGAGAGAGAGAGAGAGAGAGAGAGAGAGAGAGAGAGAGAGAGAGAGAGAGAGAGAGAGAGAGAGAGAGAGCTGGGAATTTCCACATGTGATTGTTACTCTAATCCCGGGGTCTAGACGAAGAGGATCCCAGAGACTTCCTGACAATCAATCTAACAAAAACAAACAAACAAACAAACAAACAAAAAACCTGACTCAAAAAGATGAAGCAGAGGGAGGACTGGGGCAATGGCTCCTTGTTTTTTGCAAAGTATCAGTTTCCAGTAGCCACAATCAACTTTAAGTCCAGGCCTGGGGGACTCTGGCCTGTGCAGACACATACTTGGTGTGTGCACATGAACTCACATCAGCATACAAACATACACATAAAAAAAAAAACCGCTTTTTATGAGACAGTGTTTCTATATGTAACAAGCCTTGGCTGTCCTGGAACCAGCTGTGTAGAACAGGCTGGCCTTGAACTCACAGAAATCTGCCTCCTAAATGCTGGTATTAACGGTGTGTGCCACCACCACCCAACTAAAAAAAAAAAAATCTTAAAAAAGAAATAAGGTGGATGTGCCCGGAGGAAAACGTGGTGACCTCTGGCCTCCTTTCACACACATGCGCACACATACATTCCACACAAAAGAGAAGAAATGCCAGAGGTGTCCCCATGCTCTTCCTGCGGCCTTTCTTTGCGAAGCGCCCTTGGGAGCAACTCCACACCCAGCTTTCTTTGCCCTCCTGGTGATCCTTAGGTGTGTTCTACAATGACTCCCCAAAAGCCTGCCGACTGTGACCTCCTGTCACCTCCCCCGTGGTGACTCTCAGCTGCTGCTTCCGGGGACCATCTCTGAATGAGCCGCTGCACTCAAATCCCTGTTCCCAGACCTTCTTCAGGGGTTCCAAACCAGCAGCCTTTTCTCCACAGTTTGGCCCTTATGCCGTTTGCCTCCTGAGCATCTCCTTCTGGAAGGTTTGTAAATGTCCCCTTTTCTGTGACATCACATCCCACCCATCAAGTTCCAGCATCCTTGCAGGAGAACCTCCTTCCCCTGAGGTCCTGGCCTTCATCCAGCCTTTTAGCTGCAGTTGTCTGTGGGCAGATTTGATTTTGCTCTCACTAGAAACTGTGACTTACTCATCTTTGTAAACCAAAGCCTCAGAGGGGTGCTTTATACAGAGTGGAAGCCTAATAAATATTTGATGAATGAATAAATGGCCTCCTCTAACGTCACTGATTTCCTGGACAACCCTTATGCTCATAGAATGAAGTCAGAAGCCATATTCCTGATCCACAGACCTGGGCCAGGGGAATTCTTCTCATGCCTGGAAAAGAGGTTAAGCAAACTCTGCTGATCCGCCCACAGGGCCTGCCACTATGATCTTAGTGGGTGAGGACCTGCCCTTCCTTGCAGGGAGGGTCTCCAGGCTGCCTTGCCCAAGAATCCAGGGAGTAAATTGTAAGGGTACGAGAAGCTAGGCCTGAGGGCTAGTACAAACTCAGTGGGCCCACATTATGAAAATGACTGTAGATAAGACTCAGGCATCTCTAGATGCCATCAGTCCTCAAGGGAGCTGCTGTATTTGTAGTTTTTATCACTGGATGGTGGTAAAACCCATTCTTGGTATCAGCTGAAGGCTGGGTAAATAGCCCCAAGGGGATGCAATCCTGGAGAGGAATCCAAAGCAGTTGGTGGAGCCGCAGCTGGAGGTTCGCACACTGGTTTCAGCTGACTTTCTGAACTTTGCCTGGGGCTTGTTTTAAATGTTTGCTGCCAAGGGAGACCTGACGCCCTCTGCAGACTTCCAGCAGTAGGGATGGATGGCATAGGCCCATCCCTGCAACAGGAGACTTCAAACAAACAAACAAAACCATGCCTCCAGAGCCCGGAGAAGGAAAAGTTGGCCTTCCCTGCTGGGCAGAAATGGAAATGAACAAACAGCCTGAAGCCTATGAAATGGGCAGCCAGAGGGAGGCGGCCAGAGTTCAGCCATGCTGGTGGGAGACGTGAAGGAAGAACCAGGGCGGACTAGAAGAGGCAGAATGAGTCGGTGGAGGCAATCATGCAGAGTGGAGCAGAGCAAGTGACTAGGAGGGAAGAGGGGCTGGCATTTAGGAGCTGCCATGTGACAAGCAGGTAGCAGCCATCCGTCCTCCAAGTCAAGCCTTTGAGCTCTTACAGTTATCCTACAAATGAAAAAAGAGAGACTCAGAGAGGCTAAATGGCCTGTCCCAGGCCTCCCAGCTAATGAAACCTAAGTCAAAATGGTTCATATGCAGTTCAAAACAAAACACGTGATAGCTCTCACTGTTTGATTTAGGTCATGTGTCTAAGATCCTGACTCAACTCTGGGCACATATATTTTCTCCCTTTGCTTCTGAAGCTCACTGCCCTTGGGTGTGCTGTAAGGTAGTCACTACAACTCTAGAGGACGATCTGTCAGAGCCAGGTTTAGGGCAGGTTATAGTTCAGTGGTAGAGTGCCTTGGGTTCCTGCCCCAGAATCACACACGCACACAAGAATAGACTTGAAACTTAACTCTGGGGAAATCTCCAAAAAGAAGAGAGGAAGGGAGGGGGAATGAGGATAAGGATGGCTCATACTTCTATACTTGGTTAGGACCATAAAGACACAGTGAGAGGCATCGAGGGTGACAGTACCACCCTACTTTAAGTTCTGAGGTCTGAATCAGGAAGGCTTAGCTATGTCACAAGAAAGCCTCTTATTGCTGTCCTAAGACCCACACAGAAACGTGGGAGGAGACTCCTGTCTTGAAAGCAATGATTTCCAAAGAGGCCCTGTTACTGAGTTATAGGACTGTACAGTTTCAAGGGTCACATTATGTGACCTGCTGATATTAAAACCGATTAGTGAGACCCTGTCTCAAACAAACAAACAAAAAGGCTGACAGTGTAGCCCAGTTGGCAAAGTGCTTATCCTGGGTTCAATCCCCAGCATTGCATCCTCTGCCTGTAAACTTAGCACTCTGGAAGTAGAGGCAGAAGGATCAGGAATTCAAGTTTGCAGTTAGCTTGGAATATAGAAGAAAAACAAGAGCAAAATTGTAATCTTTGTATTCAACCCACTGGATCTGAACCAGATGTAGGCTCACTGCACTGGGCTTCCCAGGGCACCTTATGCGTCAGGCACTGAGCATGCTGTCTGTAGATTCATTCCCAACATTGTGACTCACACATGGCAATTCCCATCTTATAGATGGGGACCTTGAGGCTTGACAACTTGAAGGTCCACGGGGAAGACCAGAGGGGCAGTTTCATCCAGCTAGGTACATACACCTCACCACCACTACCATGATGGGGGCTCACATAGCACAGGCCAGCCTCAAATTTGATAGATGTCTGAGGCTGGATTTGAACTCTGCCTCCCACCTCACCGTAAAACCACTGGATTACAGATGTGTGCTTCCACACTGACTTTCCAACAGCTACAGCATTTTGATGGATTGGATGGGATGGACAGGGATGGATTATGGCACTCGGGAGCCAAAGAATACTGAGTGTTACAGCTTGGATGGAAAGGTATTCTGGCACTTGGAAGTCAAGGAATACCACAGGTCACAGTAAGCCTAGCAGCTTACAGCCTCGCTTCAGGGAAAGGCTCCCCTAGTGTATGAACTCTGCTCCTGCAGAAGAGGGTTTCCCCTGCACAGTTGTTACAGTTGGGCTCCAGTCCCCCAGAGAGCAGAGTGTAACAACTTCACTTCACCAGGGAAGGTTTCCCCAGCGAAAAGTGTTACAGTCCTGCTCCACTCTGCTCTGGGTGGTCTCTGCTCTGGCAAAAGAAGGTCTCGCCCAAACCTCATTCAAGGGATTTATTGGGAGGGAAGAATCCAGGAGAGCGGCTGCCTTTTGCCATGGTAGCAGAGAATAGCCGGGCAACTGGAACAGCCAGAAGCAGAACAGACACAGGGTTTATATAGGGATTCTTAGGGGGTGGGGTTTTTCCAGGGTGGGGATTGGGTCAGATTTCAATCCCTGAATTTAGGATGACTAGATCTGCTTAGGGATTGGTTAGTTTTCTGCACAGCTTTAGGGTCAGATTTGGCTCTGGTTTCAGGGCCAAGGTGTGTTTCTGTTACTGGTCCTTTTTAGTCTTTTGGCTCTAGTTTTAGGGCCAGGGTGTATTTCTTTCACTGTCTGATTCCAGGGCCAAAGTGTGTTTCTTTGGCACTGGTTTTAAGATCAGGGTGCATTTCTTTGGTTCTGGTTGCAGGGCCAAAGTGTGTTTCTTTGACTCTGCACAGGGTGTGTTTCTTTGGCTGTCCCTTTTCTCCTAAAATCAGTCCTGAGTTTTTGGCTAGCCTGGTCTACATAGTGAGTTCTACATAGTGAGGCCCTTTCTCACCCTCTTCCCCCCAAAATGTGAGCATGGCCAAGGAAAAGATATATAATTGTATTTGAGTGTCTGCTTAAAGGGGTCCACATGATGATTCCCGGTTATTCTGATTTTGGCAGTGACCACATCGGTTTCCATCATAGAAGGTCTATGTTTTAGTGTGTGTGTGTGTGTGTGTGTGTGTGTGTGTGTGTTCATAAGCAGAAATGTACATACATGAGAAACAGTAGAGAGAATACATAGAAATCCATTTGAACAATTCTGTCACTGAAAGTGACATCTGGCTAAGCCAATCAGAAAACTACCAGATATTAGCAACTGGCAAGTTGTACTTCAGGAAACCAAGCAATGTACTGACTTACCCATCAGTGTGACCTGGGTTGTAGTCAGAAAAAAATAAACAAGTCGTAAGCTGTCCTTATGAGTCATCGAGGCTGAAAAAGAATCCTACTGCCCTCACTCCCTCTTAGTTTGTTTTTGAAACTGGTCTCTCTATGCAGCCCTGCCTTGCCTGGAATTCATTATGTAGACCAGGCTGGCCTGGAACTCACAAGAGACCCTCCTGCCTCTGCTTCCCAAGTGCTGGGATTCAGGTGTGAGGCATCATGCTCGGCCTTCTGGTCTTTTGGGAACTGAGTTTGTTAATATGATGTTGAGAGTTAGGGCAGAGGAGTAGGATGGGGAGGGACAGCAAATGGTTGTGCAAGTAAGGCTACTAACTGTATGTACCGTTTAGTCTTCCTGCAGCCGCCTAGTTCCTGATGCTGCTTTCAGCCACCAAATAACACACAGAACACTATAATTATGAAGCTGTTGGCTGTTTTCTTGGTTTCTTATTGGGTAGCTCTGACTTGATTATTAACCTATAACTACTAATATATATTTTATAAGAACTTATCTTTTTGAGGGCACACTCCTGAGAGCCCATTGCTCCTGAGAGATCACATGCTGAGAGCTCTCCTCACTACAATTCCCAGAATCCTCCTAGACTCCTAGTCCCACCTATCTTGTTTCCCTATTGGCCAAAGTGCTTTATTCAAACCAATCAGACACATATTTACAGAATGACATCTCCCAACAACTAACAACTTGGGTTTTATCACCCAAGAGAACTGACTCCCAGAAGTTGTCCTTTGACCTCCAGGGGTAGATACATACACAAAATAAAAACAAAATTTAAAACATAAAAAATTTTAAACACACACACACGCACACACACACACACACACACACGCACACACACACACACACACACACACACACACACACACAGGAGGAGGCCAGTATGGGTTGAGATGCCTGCTACCAAGCCTGATAGCCCGATGACCTGAGTTCATTCCCTGGCTCCCACACAGTGAAGGAAACACAGTGAGTTTGAAGCCAGCCTGGGTTATAGAGGACCCGGTCTGAAAGCAAAACAAGGGTGTGGGGAACCCGACTCAAGCCTGGGAGGTGTGGCCTCACCCAGGCATCAGAGCACGGCTGATGAGTCCTCCCACCCCTGGTGGTGACTCCACTTTCATTTGCTTATTTGGTGTTGGGGATGGACTCCAGGACCTTAGTTTGATGTTTACTCTCAACCTTATTCCAATTTCTTAAGTTTCCTTTAAAAAAAATTCTGGCTCTACACTAGAGAACTGTGCCAGATAGTTTTATAATCAACCTGACACTAGCTAAAGTCATTTAAGAGAAGGGAACCTTAATGAAAACAATGCCTCTATAACATCAGGTTGTAGACAATCTATAAGGCATTTTCTTTCTTTATTCCTTTCTTCCTTCCTTCCTTTCTTTTTTTGTTTGTTGGTTTCTTTCAAGATAGGGTTTCGCTGTGTAGCTTTGGA